TGCAGAGAGTGCTTCATCTGCTGTGGCTGCTGTGCATCTCCTAGCCCTGACACCCTGCAGGGCGTTTGTCCATGTTGGGATGGGGCTGGAACTGCGAGAAACCAGAGATGCACTGGCTGCACAAGGAGTCGTTCGGACCTACGGTTCCCTCCCTGCAAACAGCGATATTTGGGAACCCTGTGTACCTGAGCGGTGCTGTGCCTGGACGCAGCTTGAATAGGAACTTCAGGCAGCATAAGGAGGACTAGCTGCCTTTTCAGTTCATAGTTAGTCTTAGGTGGCTGTAGAGCAGACATCGTTTGCTTCAAAAACTTCTGGTGACACACAGGTATATGGGTATTTGGAACAGATCTTCCTAGAAAAGAGATATGTATGGTGCATCCTAGTGCATAGAAACCTGAATTCCTGTGCTTTGCAAAATCTGATGTAGGGAGGCAATCTCGATTTCTGTTCTGGGACACTGCTTGTTTGTTATCACTTCATACCTCCATTCCTTTCTCTTTGGAAAGAAACTTTTTTACTTGAATAGAAAAAAATGTGAAACTCGTTCTAGCAAATTGCGTTACAATAGGACTGGAATCACATTGGTTCAGACATAAACAGGAATGTTCAGATATATGTAAAATATCACAATGTGAAATTCTTACAGATATAGATAATTTTTAGGGCTTATAATTTTAAAATTTTATTTGTTACTCCGGGAGCAGCAGAAGCTGTGTCCTGACATGCTAAATATTGTTCAGAGATGTGTCTGAAACAGTCTTGCCACAGAGGTCTTACAGTAGAATGTAATTAGGGTTCTCTATTCTGTAATGTGCTATATTAATTAGCAGTCAAAATCCAATTTTTAAAGCCCAGCTTTGAAACGTATTTGCCCTTCAGGCCACATATCGTACTGTCACAGCTTGAAGCAGCCCATTTCACTGAGTTGATCGCAAAATAAACTAAATAAAATACATGTCTGCATGTATTTTCCATTTAGAAGGAAAGGGGGGACACACTTGCCCTCGTCTTTTAGAAAATTTCGTGTTTTACTTTCAAAGCTGAATGTCCATGCTCTACAGTTTCTCTGTGTTGTTAAATGAGGCAATGAAATAAATGTTTGCAGGGCAGGCTGAACTTGCACGGAGAACAGGGATGTGTTTTCTCCCAGCTCCGATGAGTGAAATAAAAGTGTGACTTTTGTTGGGGTCAAAATCTGTGCCCGACTGTGCCCTGCCTTCCTGGGGCAGCCTGCTCAGCCGCTGGGATCATTGGTGGTACAGCAGATAAGGAAATCTTCTGAACAGTTTATTGTTTATTCTAAGTCAGTTTTTTGTTCTGTGGAAGCGGATTGTTCCTCCGGGCAATTTCAGGTTTTGACTGCTGGTCCTCGTTCTCCCTCCTCCCCTCCTTTCCCTTTCTGGAATGAAAGAGGGAAGGCTTGAATGCACATTGAACAGTGGTCCTAAATCTGGCTTCACCATCAGCGCTGCTCGGAAATTTACATTTTCATGCTGGTGAAGGGATACATGTGAATCTCTCAGATCTTTCAAAATTTTTCTTTAAATAAAAACAAAGCTGTTGCTTACCATTCATGCTATTGTATAGGGGCACAGGACAGCCTAAGTGTAATATTTTTATAAAGGAAGAACCTTGTACAGAGCTTCCATTTTCATCTAAATGGTATATATTTTGCATCCTTTTCTTTCCCTTCTCTTCTTCTCTGTTCTGCAGTTTGACAATTTGATATTTTTTCAAAGTTAAATACAAGAAGTTTATATGACAAAGTCAGGGGTTTTTTTAGTTGAAGAATAAGAATTAATATAATCTTAAAAATGAGATTGCTTTTAACAAACTAAGGTGAGAAAGAATAAAAGCATGAATTTGTTGAAGATGTTCTGGGAGGATTTTATTAATGCGCTGTAAAAACTCACAGGACCCTTTAAGTAGCAAGTTTTGTGTGTGCAGCTTCTCCACAAAAAAAGAGGAAAGTCTTGACAGAGATTATCTGAATAGCTTTTAAACTGCTGCTTTCTTAAGAGTAAAAATAAAGTACTCATAGCCCCATTCCTTAAGGCAGAAATCCACCCTCTCTGTGTGTGTCCATCTGAAAAAAGGATGAAATGCTTTAACATTGTACTGGCTTGGCCTTGGAAAACATCAGGTGGCAGGTTTCATTGTACCAGCCTTTGCTAAATACGGAAACTTTCAGTAATTAGCATACGTCTTTTGTGTCTGTGCTTTGACCAAAATTGCCCTCTCAGTCCCAGGACGGGGTCTGAGGCTGCTGTTTGGGGTTGTGGAGTGGGAGAAGATGGTCCTTGGGCATCCTGAGGTGGTGAGGGGTGCCAGCCCCCCGTCCGTCCCCAGGGCTGCGAGCGAAGCCACCACTGTGTCCTGGGGGAAAGAGCTTCTCCAAACCTTTGGTCCCAGACCTGTCGCCTTCATGACTCTGAGTATTAAGGAGTGAAAACGAAGATTATGGGTGCTACAGACCAGGGAGAGCGTGGTACAAAGGAGACTTCAGCGTGCCGATGGGTGTTGCTGCTGGAGGACCAGCAAAGGGCAGCAGCAGGACTGGTGGGAGGTGGAGTGGCCAGAAAGCCAGATCAGAGGAACCCGCAGCCACCCGGAGACTGGAAGTGCCTGTTGGACAAGTTAATTCGTCCAAAGCAGCAAACTAAATCGGGGGTAGGGGGGCGGGGGGGTGGTGTATTTGTCAACTTGAGCAGAGTTTTGTGATTTATTTCATCATTTAGTGCCAGACAAAATGCTGTGGTTAATGAGAAAAATCATTGCGGGTTTTTCTAGGTGTCTCTAAAGCAAGATTTCAAGTTGGTTGCAGAAGCTTAACTCTTCTTTCATCTTTCAGTCTGGAGAATTTATTGTGACTGAAAACAAAGCCTTACGCACTCTGTTGTGAATTAGACTTAACTTTTAGGTCACCAGACAGAGTTAGTAAAGAGAGATTTTGTTGTACTATTTCATTCGGCATTAAAGCTCTTGTATTTATGTTCTCATTTGAGCAGTTTTAGTTTCTAGCACTAGGAATATTTGAATCATTGTACTATGGTTTTCCCCTGTGAAGCAGGGGATTTTGACAGTGAAGAAGAGAAACTTAGTTGGTTTGTCCTCAGGAAGGACATGCCTAATGATTAACAGGAGTTAATTCGCTGGTAATTTTGATCTGTAACCTGTCAACCATTCTGCATGTGCATTTCTGTGAAACATGGCACTCACAGTACTGATTGCCAGGGCAGAGTTTTGAATTACAAATATCTTTTTCTTTATGAATGAATTTCCAAGTAATAAATAATGCACTCAGATTTGTCAGTGCGTTTCTTTACTTTTAATGACTAGACACCAAAAGGCCTAATTTTCCTTTCGGCGTACCCATGACTCACTTCCACTGAAGAGAGCTGATGCGATGCTGTCCCTTCCGTCGTCTCTGCTGGGAGCTGAGAGTCTGGGAGAAGCAAACTCCAGGGCTGCGGGCATGACACCACCTCTTGTTCTGGTGATCGCTTCTTACCCTGAGTGATGCTTGGGTGAAGGATCCGTTGGATGCTTGTATTTGAGCTCTGGCTGTGCCAGTTGCTATGCATACCATGACTTATGTATGACACATCACTCAAATTGCTTTACAAGTAGGCCAGTTAATTCATTATTAATGTCTCTGTTATGGTCGTTAGTATTGTTGACATTAGAGAGTGTTGAAAATAAAAATATTTCAGAGTGCTGTTCAGATTAGAGCAGGTAGTATTGGCCCCGACTTTTGGATGAAGAACAGCAGCAAGCAGGTATTATGCTCTAAAGCACCTGCTCTATGTTTGAGTGACGTACCTTGTATCCAGATAGTGCATTACACACTTAGCTGAAATTACTGACTTTTTCAGTAAAAGAAGGGTTAGACATGACATTATAGATGGTATAATTTTATTTTCTAGTCATCTGCCTTTTATTGGAAATGAATAGTACAATCAAAATCAGGTCAATAAATTTTTACTGGTTTTTTTTACTGTTTGTAAATCTTGATGTTGTGATTTGTGTTAATAACACATGTAGATGGTTCAGATTTGGATTGTGAGAGCAGGATGGGACAATTTGCATTAAAAAGTCTGCAAACACACAGGATTAATTTGCGCACAAGTTGTAATGGTTACTGTAAAAGTATAGGTAACGTGAACACCTCCGTTGACATGAATCCCCCCTTAATGATGAAAAAGATGCTGTGGTGGTACAGCTGTCTTTGCACAGTGAGAGAAGTAAACAGTGTTGATGAGCAGAATTTTTAAACAGCTGTAACTGCATCCCTATTCTTTTAGCTTATTGCCTTTTATTTCCTCTTTGATTTTTTTTTCTTTTTACTTCTGCCAGTCCAAAGGCTGTGTGTGAGAGGTTATGGTGTGACAGTTGATAATTTAGTGTGTCGTCCTGATTTATTGCACATTACCAAACCCTGTTTTGAAATAGAATTACTTAGCTTACAGTCTTAGTTGCTGTGGTTATGTATAAAGTCATTTTGGCACGCAGCAGTCAGAAAGCACTGCTGAAGACACAGATTTTGTGAATTCATAAGGGGGAAAAGTATATTTTATGCTGTGCATTAACTTCTTGTTCCACGTGCTATCACTCTGGCAACCTCTGGACTTGTAGCTGGGCATCCCCATGAGTGCAGGCAGAGATAATTCAGATGGCTGGAACTGGAAGCTTTGGAGTCCCTGCCTCTGAAGAAATTAAATCCTTGCCTGAATTTATCCCCTGGCGGGGCAGGACAAGAGGGTGGTGTCAAATAAAGCCCACCCAATAGTTGAACATGTGCTGATTTTAAGGCGAATCAGGTTTGGTGCCAAGCAGGTTGATAGCTTTCCTTTACTGAAGATAGAACTAGTTTCTTCACTTTGGTACATTCAAAGTCTGCCATCAGCTTCAGTAAATGCAGTAGTCATAATGTTGAATATATTATAGAAAAATATTCATATAAATAAAATAAAATTAATTTTATTTCTGTTTTTCAGGAGAAGCTGATGTGGACTGGTCCATCTGTAATAAAGACTTAGAGGTAACACAGACAACCCAGTTGTTCCATAATTCTTTATTTTTATATTTATTAACAAGCAGAGCAAGATAAACGCGATTGAAAAATCCATCTGTAGTTTTGGTGTGGAGTCGTTAGCAGCGTCCTCCCAACGGCAGGTGAAGCCTGAGCTCTCGTAGAGTAGGAGGAGGTTCAGTTGTTGGGGCAGGCACAAAGTGGAGTGGGAAGAGGATGCCGGGAATCGGAGCGCTTCCACACGCTCCGCGAGGAGGAAGTCAGCTCTTCCTTTCCAGTTGCTTCAGAGACTAGTAATTGTTCCGTGGCAGCTAAATTGCATTCCCACAGGCAGCACTATGAGCCATCTGTGTTTGTTTAGCTTTCCTGCACTCCCAGAGGCTGGACTCAGCTCAGGAGTTGGTACAGTTAGGCTGTAACCTGGAGTACTCGTGCAAGGTACCGTAGCATCCAGGAAGATTGAGCTTCAGCTGTAAAGTCTGACTCCTTCGATTTCTCTTTCCAAGGTTCAGTAAAGCTTACATAATCAGGTGACATCAACAAATTCTTTCCTTTAAGAGAAATGGTATTTTGTACGTCTCCCATTCACTTGTCCAAAATTTTATTTCCGTTTTTAAAAATTGTGATGTTTACTAAGCAATAAAGGTTGAAGATAGGATTTTCAGTTCTGTCTGCCTAGGCAGTAAGTATGTGTGAGGTCACTGGGAGAGAGCTTCCAGCTTCTCTTTTTTTTTTTTTTCTTTTTCCTTTTTAAATCTTTCTTTACAATTGCAAATTGCAGATTTGGTCTAGTCTTGTATAGCATTGTACTTTGTCCAAGAAGTTTTCCTTAATGTGTGCAAGGGAATGTGTAACTTGCATTTGTAATTAATGTTAGTTATATTTGTATTCTGGGAAAAATTCCAGTTTGTCATGAAATAGCACAGTGAATAAGAGTGTCTTGATTAACCAAGGGAAAGCAGAACTTCATAACTGCAATTTTAAACAGCAAAAAAGAATGTCCTGAAGTCGAAGTTTGAACAAGACAATACTTTTCTTCTAGACAATGCACGTTTCTCTATAACAGAATTATCCAGTTCAAACCTGGATGTGTAAATTGTACTTGTAAAAAGTTAGATTTCTAACTGAACACTACCAACAGTGACCTTTACAAATTTCCCATCCTAACAAACACTAAACCACAGACTCTCAAATGGTAAATACATTTCTTTTTTCTTGTTTCACCAGGCACAGATCTCCAACTATGCAAGTGCGAGGCATACCAGTATGCGGTACTACACAGCTGTTAAAAATGTTACCTGTAGAAATTGCGGTAGACCAGGTCATTTGTCCAAGAACTGTCTTAGTCCAAAGGTAAAGGCAACACTTAAATTCCTTGTAGATGCAGCTATTTCTTCTAATAGTCTTGTGCTTGCCAATAGAAGCATTGCTTCAGTGGTTTATTATTTCATTGAAAGGTTGCTCCAAGTTGAAGGATACCTTGCACAAGATCAGTTTGCTATATAAAATTAGCTGTCTGTTTTGTGGAGGTCATTGCTTTTATTGTTTTTATAAAGGAAAAAATCTGTAAGTATAAACTGAGCAAAAAAGAGAGTCGACTGCAATATAGAAACTTGTTTTTCATATTATAAAACCAGTTTTAAGACATAAAATGGTTTTCAAATGTATTTTCAACAAGGAGAACCTAAGGAATCCAAAAATCACCCTTAGTAAATGAATGAAAGCAGTTACCTATATAATGAACCATGATAAGAATAGTGCTAAAAATTATAGACAAGATGAAATGGGAAATAACTTTAAGCAACTCACTTAGATGCCAAATATTCAGAAAGTTTGTCCAGGGGTTAGACATTTAAAGGTCACTATACTGTCAAGAAGTGGGGGCAGTTGCATGAGAGTCCGGGTTTACCAGTCCCCACAACAGAGTCTGTAAAAACTTCAGTCCCTGAGGCTGTTACCCACACTGAGACTTTGAGTGACTACATCCCACTGAAACGTAAGCCCTTGGAGTGAAGATACACTCACTCACTGGGAAAATTGGCTTTAAAGAGATACAGGTGTGGCCACAGAATAGCTTTCAGCGTTTTATATTTGTCGCTCCATGTGCTTATTTGTGTGAGTCACAAGCCATGTAGCCGTGGGGTTGTGGCGGGCTGACCCCAGCTGGCAGCTAAGCCCCCAACCAGCCCCTCACTTACGCACCCCTTGTGGGCTGGGGGAGAGAATTGGAAGGGCAAAACCAAGAAAAACTCATGACTCAAGATAAAGACAGTATAGTAAGCAAAGAAAAAAAACCCAGTGATGCAAAAGCACTCACTCACACAGCAGACAGATGCCCAGCCAGTCCCTGAGCAACAGCTACTTTGGACACCCTCCATCCCCCCCAGTCCTGTTGCTGAGCATGATGCTGTATGGTCCAGATATCTCTTTGCTCAGCTGGGGTCAGCTCTCCTGGCTGTGTCCCCCACCAGCCTCCTGCCCCCACCCAGCCTGCTTGTAGTTGTCGTGGTTTAACCCCAGCCAGCAACTAACCAGCACGCTCACTCCTCCCTGCTCCCAGGGGGATGGGGAGAAGAATCAGAAAAAAGTAGAAATCCTGGGTTGAGGTAAGAACAGTTTAATAACTAAAATAAAACAGAAAAAGAAGAAGAAATATAATAACAATAATAATAATTGTAATGAAAAGGAATATAAGAAAAAGAGAGAAATTAGACCCAAGAATAGACAAGTGATGCACAATGCAGTTGCTCACCACCCACTGACCAATGCCCGAGCAGTGATCTGCATCTCCTGGCCAACTTCCCCCAGTTTATGTACTGGGGATGACATTCTATGGTATGGAATATCCCTTTGGCTAGTTCAGGTCATCTGTCCTGGCCGTGCTCCCTCCCAACTTCTTGTGCACCTGCTCACTGGCAGAGCATGGGAAACTGAAAAATCTTTCCCTTTGGATAAGCACTACTTAGCAACAGCTAAAACATCAGTGTATTTTCAACATTATTCTCACACTAAATCCAAAACACACTGTAACAGCTACTAGGAAGAAAACTAACTCTATCCCAGCTGAAACCAGGACAGCAGTGCAGTGGTCTGTGGCACAGACTGTATTTACAAACCAGTCCAGTATGTTGTGTTACAAACTGTGTATCATGTTCCTATGATACAGTTTTGGTTTTCAGGTTTTAAGAAATTTAATAAAAAAATAAGTGTTCATACAGAGTGCCCATCACTTCTGCTCTGAGTGAAATATGGTTTCCAGTTTAATGATTATTTTTGCTGTATTCACTCAGCAAATAGCATGGGCACTGGGCATTTAACAAGTGCTTCCGATGCAAGGTCCAAATCAAGGAAGTACAGGGAGTCTATGGAGCTACAGCTTTGAGTTTTACTCTATTCATAGTCTTCCTTCACTTCAATTCCTTGATAAAACATTAACATCTCTGCAATTCCTAGTAAGCAGTAGACATTTATTTGGGGTGGTTTCTTCTTCATTTCCTCTTCTGATTTTTTTTTCTTTTCATTAATCTTTTGAAACATTCTCACTTAACATAATTCTTTTTTTTGTTTCTCCATAGAAAGTTCCCTGTTGTTGCCTGTGTGCAGGAAGAGGTCATCTACAAAACAGTTGCCCAGCACGTTTTTGTTTGAACTGCTGTTTGCCTGGCCACTATTTCAGGGAATGTCTTGAGAGACCCTATTGGAATAAACAATGCAATCGCTGTGATATGAGGGGGCATTATGCTGATGTGAGTATAGCCCATGGCAAAGAGCTCAGTCATTATTGGTTTTGTATCTGTCAAAAATTCAATTTACAACCACCACAGTCTTCTCATATTTTCTTTAATTTTATATAGTGCATAGTACAAGCATGTGAAAATACTGTAGTTAGTTGTTACCTAACAGTATCACAGTTCTCATGAAGAATGGTTCAAAGAACACAAACTGGAGCATTGTAAACACTCAGTCTTTAGTTTTGTCCTGTTTAGTTAGGATGGAGAAAAATGTCCTCACTTCTGTTAGATTGGAGGTGAAGGGAGGTTGAAATTAGGAGACATGGAATGCTGCAAGCATGCCAGCAAGAGGTAAAGAGTAACTCTGGTGCTCCAGGAGTTCCAGATCCATGTTTTTTTCACTATGATCACATATTCATCAATGAAAATGTTATTAGAAGTTTAAACTTCTGACATAAATGTCTAAATGGGTTTGAGAGGCATTTATAACCGTGCTCTTTTTACATTGCAAACATACTTTACAAACAAAATGGAAATGGTACACTTTATTTCTTATGCAAGTATGGGTGAAAAAAATTTTATCTGACATTAGCTTATAACGAAGCAGGTCTACAACCATATTCATGTGCCTTAGCTTAGTTTCTGCCTGCTTTTCAGTAGAGTCCTCTATTATTTATGAACATGCAAGAAGAGAGATAATGATGAAATTAATCGTCTCTCTACTTCCATATCCCTATGGACAGGCCCATCAAATATATAGTGTAAGAGAATTTCTAAAGTAGTGGAACATTTGCAGGATTGTGTACTCTACTATTAAGAGAGAAATATTGCTGAAAACATTTAATGTCTGGAACCTACTGATGTTTTGTCTTAATCCCACAAGAACCACACTGATGTTTTCCATCATCACTACTGTCATTCAAAACCCAACTTTTTCTACTTAGACCAGCTTATACAGTTTGGGTGGACACTCCAGTCCTGTTGCTGGTCACTCTCATTGCTTGTTCATGTTACGTTACGCTGCCTCTATATCACAGCCACTGGAGAGAAAAAAGTACTTAATGCAAATAATAATCTCCATACCATACCTTACAAAACAGCATTTCAGAGTTGTTAGCAAGCTTGCATCTGCATTCATAGTGAAAATGGTTCTGTCAGGTGGGAATATAGAAGCGCTCCTTTCGTCTTGCTAGAAGATCATATGTTCAGTGTTGTCGTGGTTTAACCCCAGCTAGCCACTGAGCACCACGCAGCCGCTCACTCACTTCACCCCCCACCCAGCGGGATGGGGGAGAAAATCGGGAAAAGAAGTAAAACTTGTGGGTTGAGATAAGAACAGTTTAATAGAACAGAAAAGAAGAAATTAATAATGATAATGATAACACTAATAAAATGACAGCAGCAATAATAAAAGGATTGGAATGTACAAATGATGTGCAGTGCAGTTGCTCACCACCCGCCAATCGATGCCAGTTAGTCCCCAAGCGGTGATCCCCCCATCCCCACTCCCTCCAGTTTATATACTGGGCATGACGTCCCATGGTATGGAATACCCCTTTGGCCAGTTTGGGTCAGCTGTCCTGGCTGTGTCCCCTCCAAACTTCTTGTGCCCCTCCAGCCTTCTTGCTGGCTGGGCATCAGAAGCTGAAAAATCCCTGACTTTAGGCTAAATATTACTTAGCAACAAGTGGAGAGATCAGTGTGTTACCAACATTCTTCTCATACCTAGCTCAAAAACATAGCACCGTACCAGCTACTAGGAAGACAATTAACTCTATCCCAGCTGAAACCAGGATAAGTGTGTTTCCCACCAGTTGCTTGGCTGTTTGTTTCAGGTTGAGCAGCACAACGGGAGAAGGGTTTCCATTTATTTAATAGGGAGATAAAGGCCCCATAAAACACATGCGTTCTGCTGTTAGATTTTACTGAGCATTCATAGTTGTCTTGGATAAATGAGTGAGTAACTTTGGCACAAAGCGAGGTATGGAAATACTAAAAATGTTCAAGTACTGTAAGGATACTGAAGTATATTAAAGGTCATCCAGATACAGTGTATTCTCTGCGCTGAAGACTAGGTGGGAGGTAAGGTCACGGGACTTCATTTGGGTTAGAGTTTTTTTCTCAAAACTCTTATCATTTAAATAGCACCATTATGGAAACACACTCTTCAGTGCCTGATCTCCTTTCTTAAAAATATTTCTTCAACTCTTCTGAATGCATTTTGAAACACTTAGAAACTTTTGCTCTTGACAGTCTGCCCAAAGCTGTTATGACTGTTAGTGAGAGTCAGTAGATATAAGCAAGACAGAGAGAGGCTTTATACCAGGGGCAGTGGCGACAGGACAAGGGGCAACAGTTTTAAACTGAAAGAGGGTAGATTTAGATTAGACATAGGGAGGAACTTCTTCACTGTGAGGGTGATGAGGCACTGGAACAGGTTGCCCAGAGAAGTTGTGATGCCCCATCCCTCGGAGTGTTCAAGGCCAGGTTGGATGGGGCTTGGAGCAACCTGGTCTGGCAGAAGGTGTCCCTGCCCATGGCAGAGGGGTTGGAACCAGATGATCTTTAGAGGTCTCTTCCAACCCAAACCGTTCTGTGATTTTATGATACTGCACAGTAGGTTAGGTCAGTCCTATACTCATTGCCAGGAATCCTGGATGTGAGGAATGTAATGTCATGCACCACCACTGCATGCTCTGGAAGAAATCTGCAGATTTTGAACAGGAGCATTTAAAATTATTACAAACATCATGTAGCCTAAGTAAAAGCTTCTATCAGTATTTCAGAATACATATATATATATATATATTAACAGAAGGGTTTTTGTAACAGCTCAGAGATTTTTGTTTTATTGGAATACCTCAAACCAGCAATTTTTGTTTTATTTTTTGAGTATGGTGTACCTCAAAGCTAGACACCACTGGTTTTTAAATTTTTGCTTCCTGGATGAATAATTTAATGTCAAGTTTCAGTGCAGGATGAACTATTTTGACAAGAATGTTCCACCTCTGAAGGAGACTTTTACACAAAAGCGTTCTTTAATATTCTTAAGAAAGTATTAAATGCTATATCAATTGGAAGTTTGGTAGAAGAATAAAAGAGATTGTCAAAACAAGCAAAATTTTCGAGGTTAATAGCTATATTTAAGATTAAATATCTGTGGGATTACAACCAGGCAAAAGTATACTGCAGTGATGTTATCACTTTATGAGATTAAGTGATACTAGAAAACTACACTTGGAAAGGTCTTGTATTCAGGTGCTTTTGTGTGTGTGTACAAAGCCCTTCCCAGATAGTCTTTAGATCTGTGTACCTCTCATACAGATATGCAGATAGTGCTGAATCGAATTTTAAAAACATAAACTAGAGGAAGGTAATGACTTTGCAGTAGAATACTTCAGTTTAGTAGGAGGTTCATGTATGACTGTAACATGAAGATTTGTCCTCATATTTCATAAATACAGGTAGAAGACTTGCTGTGTCCTTTCTTTAATTTCCCTGTGGCTTTTCGGTAGTAGCAGTGGTTATGCCGTAAGGACTGAAGAGAAAGATAGCAGTAGTTTGAAGGCCTTTGAGTCTGAGATGATCTACTAAAATAAAACACAGATGAAAATAAAAGTGCAACTAAAGATATTTTTATCTTTTTTTAACCTTGTATAGTATTATTATGGTTTTACATGTCCCAGAAATTCAGTCCTGTACATAGGAATTAACCTTTCGTGCTATTTTTTTTCCTCAAATGAAACTCCAAAAGTTGAGGATAAAAGGCAAGCTGTGATAACATCATCATACATTCCTACTTCATTTTCTATCTAAAGATATGGATTAAATGTTTGTGTTCCAGATACACCTGTTCAATTACCCTAAACATTGGGGTTTTTTTAAATTCAGAAATATTTGAATCTCTTTCTAAATGTCTCCTCCCTACCTTTATTTCTTCTATTTGGTCAAAGAATGAGAGAGATCCTGAGAAGGCTTTCTCCTCCCTTTCACTGAATACAGAAGTTTATCTGAATAACTCTTCTACCTGGTAAAGCTTATGTACCGTAACCTCTATGATTATATTCAATCCCCATATCGCAGAATCATGGAATAATTGAGTTTCAGTGGGAGGTTTAACTCTGTAGCTTAACAATCAGACATGAAAGACTTCCCTCCGTGTGCTTTCTGAGTGTCATTTCCAGGTGGGGGGAGAGGGGCTATATATTGGACTGTTCGTGTCTCCATCCTGCTTGCGCTGAAGATGGCCTGGTGCCACACCAAACACGAGGAGTTAGGGAAGGAGGACTGAGAGTTTGTTACAGGCTCACCATAGGCAATGGTATGTGGGGTATGCAAATGATGCCCAGCACATTTGGGAGTTTACTATTTCTTTTGGTATTTGCACGTTAGAAATTTAAATTTGGTCTTCCTCTTCTAGCTGTACTTTTTCTTATAGCCAATGTGTACACAGTACCATTACTTTAAAGAACATGAACAGCATATTTCTGCACTCCCTTTCTGGTAGGCAGTTAGACAGAACTGTAGTCTTAGGTATCTTTTCTTTGCATCTCTTGCCACCTTTTCTATTTTACACATTTTATGAAGCCAGTTCTCATAAAGTAATTTTCTTTTCTGTAAAGAATTACAAGTCTTCTATCATCCCAAAATTTAAATCCTACCTAAGTTGTGTAGATTATGAGGAACATCACAGCATGTATTTTTTCTGCTCATTTAGGTTCACTTTAAATCAGAAAGGTTTGTCTTTGAAACTTTCAGGTAGATCTCTTGCAGTTCTGCATGACAGGCATGAAGCTACCTGTGCAGTGAATGCTGGAGTGTAAGAGTAGGGTCTCATCTGCCCGTCCTCGGAAAGAAAGATGGCATGGCAGAACCACAGAGTGCAAAAGGAAGGTTGTGAGGCTATGCAGCAGGGTCAGAGAGGTTACAAAAAGCAAAAAGGTATCCTTTGAAAACCTGATGTGTGCATGCAAATGAAGAAAACAGAAAGGATTGTAAACTCTGGCAGATTAAAT